GATCACAGAGCAGTCAGGTTCTCTCACAGACGGACCACAAAACTACAAGTACAAGACCAAGTGCACCTGGCTCCTGCAGGGCGCGTGAGTCTCCTCATGTTGTCTACAACAGAAGGGTCAAAGGTTTGATTCTATAACATGGATCAGATAGTAGCACTTCATACAAAATGGATTTAAATAGTTCATTTTCAGGAGGCTGTGATCAGTGTGAACGTTCATGGTCCTGTTTAGGAGTTTGATTTTGAACAAAAAGGTGAGAGTGAGTGACAAGCACTTGTTTAACAGCACAAATCAGCTCACCTGTTGTAGTTCCAGCTGAGTTATTTCTCTTTGGTCAGATTGTGTTAACATCAGTGTTGGGAAGGTTAGTTTTAAAATGTATTCCCCTACAGATTACAGATTACATACCCCAAAATGTAGTTTGTAACATAATCCATTAAATTACTTAAAGTGAGTAACGTAATCTGAATACTTTGGATTACCTGATTTGCTGTAGAGAAACAAAGACGAGGAAATCGTAACATAAGATGTTTTGTCTGATAAAAGAAAATGAAAAGCCCAGACATTACCGAACCAAATTAAAAATATTATTGATTGATGATTGTAACTGTAATCCAATCACTTAAACAGTAACTGTAACCGAATACAGTTACTCATAATTTGTACTCTGATTATGTAACTCCGGTACATGTAATCTGTTACTCCCCAACACTGGTTAACATAAAGTACAGATTAAAGTCAAATAGAGCCTCAGACAGAGCAGAACCTACAGTCAGAATCACACCCCAGAGACTGTTGATGCCATCAGCTGCAAACTCTCAGCACATGAGTTTGATTCTGATAAACACTTATTATCACACTTGTGTTTCTGTGGTGCAGGCCAAACTCAGTGCTGCGTCTGCGCTTCACTCACTTTGCCACAGAGTGCAGCTGGGACCACATGTACGTGTACGACGGAGACTCCATCTTCTCTCCGCTCGCCGCCGTCTTCAGGTGAACACAACGATGAGGAACAACAAGAGACGGACATTTTGTATCTTCACAAATACATGCATACGATTCAAAATGCTTTACAGAGGAAGGGAGACACATACATATAATTAACACATTAACATAAGTAATATAAACAAATAAAAACATAAAAAACATAACATTTAAACGTGTCTGACAGTTTTTGCCGATTTTAAACATTTTGACTTTATTTGGTGGGATGATGCTTGTTATAAATATAAATGATAGTTTTATACCAATCAAGAAGCAATCAGTCTTTGTTTTAGTGCTCAGTCAGAGGATGTTCCCCAGGCTCCTTCACGTTCGTCCATGTCAGTCTCAGGTGCATCTCTGGATTCATCACCGGTTCATCTGTGCAAGGCCTCTGATAATGAGCTGTGACAGAACACAGAGGAAGAAGAGCTGCTATTCCTCCATGTCACTGTTTAGACATTGACGTCTGATTGTTATTTTTCAAATGTCCCACTTCGACATTTTTTTTTTTTTTTTTTTTCATTGTAGTGACACTTCACTCTTTTTCAAACATTTGGCTTTTCCGACATGGATAATATTAATGTGATAAGATAATATACTTTTCGCTTCCATATATCATAAGATGTTTGGACCTCTGCAAAGCTCTTGATGAGAGAAAACTTGGGGCACAGAGGAGATCAGACAGTAGGAAAATCAAAAGAAGACTTTAATATTCAGCTCTTGTAAAATGGTGCATTTAAAGTGCATCATCTCATCCTCATAGAAATTGTCCTCCACAAATAATGAGCCCAGTCCACAAAACTGTGACATTAATCCAGTTTGATGTGTTCTTTGAAAGTAAAAATGCAAAAGTAGCAGGTGTGTCTGTTTACATCCACACAGCGCACGGATCAAGGTGAAGCTGCAGATTAGTGATAGTGACTCTACTTCCTGTGTAGTAAGTAGAGATTTATGCTTTGAAAATCCTGTTTCTGAAATATTGCACCACATTTCACAAATAATAATAACACAGTTTTGACTTGTATCTAAAATAGAAGTGCAGAACTCTGATCTTTTGAACAGTTAAGAGTCTCAGAGCGACAGGAAACAGTTGATGTCATTGCGTTCACAGCTTCATGTAGGGGGACAGGAGTGGGATTCTGTGCTGGTGAAAGTGAGGACAGGTGGGAGGGGAAATTTCGTGCAGGCAAGGATTCACGTGGTGCCCCTGTAAGTGCTTGGTGCCCTACGCGCTGTGTGTAACAGTTATCTACGGTACTGTACCTACCTCTATCTATCTGCTGCATTCAGCACCATGGACAGCGAGAGACATAAACTATGACGTGTTGGAATAGTGATACCAAAAGCTATCAGAAAACTGTCATGTCTAAATATAGAGATGTTGTAATGAAGGGATGTCAGAATAGACTGTGGACCCCAGGAGGAAGAGGGGACAATGGTTCTCAAGATGTGGTGCAAGAAACACTGTTGATGCACAGGCTAATACTAACACTGAAAACCTGTGGAATCTGTGTAAATGTGTAAAATGTCTTTAACTAATTTAGATTCAGAAGAGAAGCAGAGGTGAGAGATTTATAAATGTATAATTTTATTAAAAAAATTAAATTAAAAAAGTACTATGTCCTAAGTCCTATCTCCTATCTCACTGTGTATATATCTATATATCTATATATAGATATATAGAGCTATATAGATAGATAGATATAGACAATATTTATTAATAATTTTACAATAGTTGTTTTTGAGATATGCAGAATGTGTATATTGAGTATTTCATGCATAGAAAACTGCAGTGTTGTCTTGATTTTGAAATAATGTACAGTACAGGGAGAAGAGGAGTGGACTACATAAACCAGGAATCGCTTTATTTTATTCAGCTCTTTAGAATTTTGACATAATTTGAATGACCCTCCTCAGTAACCTGTGGGATCATCACTGTGATAATAATGTGAGAATGGGAATTAATCTCCACCTCTTAACATAAACACACTGTAATCCATCTTTTCACTGTTTCATTAAATTAAAGCTGTGTCTTCTTCTCATAACCCTCTCGTCACCTGTCTCTCCACAGTGGCCTGGTGGTCCCAGAGAACCGAGGGAACGAGTCTGTCCCAGAAGTGGTCACTACCTCTGGATACGCCCTACTGCACTTCTTCAGCGACGCAGCCTACAACCTGACTGGCTTCAACATCCAGTACTCGTAAGTCCTACCTCACTGTGTAACTTTGAATACTTGTAAGTCCTACCTCACTGTGTAACTTTGAATACTTGTAAGTCCTACCTCACTGTGTAACTTTGAATACTCATAAGTCGTACCTGATTGTGTTGTGGTTAGAGGTTGACTGATATGGGTGATGTTTGGAATTCAGGGTAACTGAAGCCAGGGCCAGTTTGAGTTTACTGAAAACTCAACTACAGCCCTGTTTTACTACAAACTGGATAAGAAAGCAGTCTATAGTAACATTTTGTGCAGTGTTATTTTCAGACTTAAAAAACAAAAGAAAAACAGCGGTCAGCAGTGATAGCACTCTGAAGGGGGAGTGACTTAACATAGGGAGCAAAGGAAAGAGGGAGGCTGTGTTTCAACAGCATTGTGTGATACTCAGATGATCAGATCAGCTCTTGAAATCTAAGTTCTTCTCTTCCTAATGACTCTCCTCTTGTTCAGATATTGGACACAGGAGGAAGATGTGATAAATGACCAGAATGTGATAAATGACCAGAATTTTACACGTCTGCACTCTGGACAGCTTCAATTAAACTCTTTTATTGTATTATATTAAACATGGATGGTGTTGCTCAGGGGGAGTGGCAGTTCTGGAGTTGAATAGTTGACAGTTCAAGTCCTGCTCCTGCATGTTCATACACTGTATGTATTTGTGTGTGTAAATATGTGACGTGGATGAGGCCTTAAGCTCATATAAACAGACAGCACACTGTAAACACTAAGAATATTCCTTACAACAAAATAGTAGTTCAGTCACCTGGCAGTGTGCACCTGTCTATGGACCTGTCGGCTCGCAGCCTCTTCACTACTCGAGTACATTTGTTCAGCACATTCACTTGTGTTCATAAACACGTTTTTCTGCATTGAAAGACTTTGTATTATTTTAATCGGCCAGTAGTGAGTTAGTTGATCAAAATGAATTTGTTGACTATAGTATAAGGATTTTTATGGGACAACAGCAGAAAGGAGAAGTTATTCATTATTCATTCATTCATTCATTATTCAGTGCGTGAGGTAGATTTGGTGTTGTTTGTATTTATTTGTAAAAAAGCAGATTAAACTCATGATCACAAATACAGTGTTTTCTAGTAATAGTTCTCTGCATAAATGACAGTTTGTACATGTACTTTCCTGCAGGTGCAGTCTTGTAGTGAGTGCAGTTTGGGTCAGATACAAATCTGATGATGTAAAAGAAGTTGAGCATCAACTGTCAGATACTACCTATTATCAGAAATTGGACAGTGACCCTACAACTAAATATAAGGCTGAAATTAATACAGTACATTACACATTTGACTGGAAAAAGGAGAAGTCACAAAGTTGGAGGTGAACTATATGAAGGTCCTGTATCCTTTATACACTGTTAAAAACACACAAAAGTTTGACAAGTCCTCCTGGCAGACCAGTAGTCTCGGCCATAGGATCCCTCACTGAAAATATGTTAAAGTTTTGTTGGCTTCTTTATAAAACATTTTGTTATAACTTGTTGCAGAAGGTTTTTATGGGAGTGACTCACAGACAGAACTATAGTTTTTTGCACAAAGCTCAAAGCTGCTCTGTGATTGGTCAGCTGTTGGGCCCTAGCAAGCGCCAAAATGGATTCTTGTGAGTTTGTGAACTCACAAATATCATGAGGAGAAACTTGCTGTTCAAGAAGCGAGTGTTTTAAAATGCTGAGGATTATATAATGGTGGACTCTGGTGGACTTCTTTCCCCGGCTCAGACTAAGTCATACTTCAGCTCTGACATTAACTGGAACATTCCTGGTGGATTCTCATCATTGTCTGAGAGTCAAACCTTTGTCCAATCACAGCGGCTCATTTATGTCACGTGTCTTTCAAATGCAGAAGACGTCTCCTCCTAATCATTTACAACTAAATCTCTCACTTCTTTTACTGGAGAGAAATAACAGTTTGGTGATTCCACTGCCAATTCTACAGAAATCTGCTCTTTCTCAGTCCTCTCTGTTGTTGTTTCCCTTTTTTTTTACACTTGAACCTCCACGTGTCTTTCAGGATACAGTTCTAGACCCACACGTCTTTGTAAAGTTTTGTCAAAAGTGTAGTTATACGGTGCGTTGGTATATTTTGGAATAAATATTAAAGGACATCTAATCACCTTAAATCAATCATTTAGATACATTTTTTGATAAAATTCACATGTTTGAGTTTAGATGTATAATTTCTCTTTTACTTATAGGTTGATAGTTTGATCTGAGCTCCTTAAAAAGCAGTCCTTGGGCAAGACACTTCCCTCAGCTTTATTGGTATGAATGTGATGTGCCCCAGGACTTTAATCCAGCACAGACAAAGTCATTTAACTCACAAACTGCAACATGTAAACTAATAATCCTTTCACAGCTCATAATAGCTCTTTGTCATTTTAAATGTGTGCCCAGGCTGAACTCATGCCCTTATAACTGCTCTGGACGTGGGCACTGCAGAGTGCTGAGCCTGGGCACAGGGCGGGTCTACTGTGACTGTGAGGAGCACTGGAAGGGAGACGCCTGCCACATCCCCTACTGCCCCAACAACTGTGGCAGCCCCGAGCACGGCTACTGCGACCTGACCGGAGAGAAGCTCTGTGTGTGCAACGACAGCTGGCAAGGTACTCACAACAGACGGGTACTCACTCACACCGACAAGTTACTCACTCACACCAACAAAGGACTCACTCACACCACACAGGTACTCACTCACACCAACAAAGGACTCACTCACACCACACAGGTACTCACTCACACACACAGGTACACACACAACACTCACTCACAACACACAGGTACTCACTCACACACAGGTACTCACTCACACACAAGGACTCACTCACAACACACAGGTACTCACTCACATCAACAAAGGACTCACTCACACCACACAGGTACTCACTCAACAACACACAGGTACTCACTCACATCAACAAAGGACTCACTCACAACACACAGGTACTCACTCACACCAACAAAGGACTCACTCACACCAACAAAGGACTCACTCACACCAACAAAGGACTCACTCACAACAGATAGGTACTCACTCACACCAGACAGGTACTCACTCACACCAACAAAGGACTCAGTCACACCAACAAAGGACTCACTCACAACAGACAGGTACTCACTCACATCAACAAAGGACTCACTCACAACACACAGGTACTCACTCACACCAACAAAGGACTCACTCACATCAGACAGATACTCACTCACACCAACAAAGGACTCACTCACATCAGACAAATACTCATACCAACAAGGTACCGGACTCGCACTGCCAAGTACTCACTTCAACAAAGTACTCATTCTCAGTGAACTCACTCACACCAGAAAGATACACGCTCAGATAAGGTACTCACAGCCCTGTCCACTGCTGCTGTGACCTGTCCAGAGAGAAGCTGTGTGTGTGTGTGCAAAGCTGGCAAGGTACTCACTCACAACAGACAGGTACTCACTCACAACAGACAGGTACACACTCACACCAACGGAGTACTCACTCACACTAGACAGATACTCACTCACACCAACAAAGGACTCACTCACACCAACAAAGGACTCACTCACACCAACAAAGGACTCACTCACACCAACAAAGGACTCACAACAGACAGGTAACTCCAACAAGGAGTGTGCTCAACCGCAACAGACAAGGTACTCAGACTGACAGAAGGTGCTCACTCACTCACGTAGTCAAGATGATCAGAATGAACTGAATTAGTGATCACACATTTTGTGGAGTCGTCACAAATGGAAACTAAACATAGTTACAGCTAATTCCTTTTAAAACATCAACTTAAAAATATAACTTACTGAGGTAACTCATCACCGGATCACAAAAGTATGGTCTGGTCAAAAAATGTTTCACGGTTTGTGGTTTCAGTTTGTTAGGTTTGTGGAAAATAGACAAAAGAAAGCCGTGTCACTGGAGCTGTATCACTGTGTGTGTTCACGATATCAAGAGAAATTGTCATTATCGTTTATGATATGATTTATATTTATTAAGAGAATATCTGATTTTACTTTCAAATTAATAGTTTCCTCATGGGCAGTGTGGGGTGTACTTGTGGGTGATGACTGCCCCTGTGTGGAGAGAAGGTGCAAGTGCAGGAGACTGGCCAGAGGGTCCCAAACGTTTCTGTAAACTGTCCTGCAATAACACTTAATACAATATAACATTTATTTAGATGATCTTTTATTGAGTTCTAACATAATGATAATGATTAAAAAACATACATAATAATATATTTCCCATCCTATGTAAAATGTGTTTAATCACAAAAACAAAACAAAAAAACCCCAAAAAACAGAGGAACAGAGGAGCTCATTCTCCAACAGGCTCCTACAGCTCCACTAAAACAGAGAGATACAGGATTACATTCATACTATAATACTCCCTACAACTGTACAACAACTCACCCTTATGGAACAGATAATACTCCCTACAACTGTACAACAACTCACCCTTATGGAACAGATAATACTCCCTACAACTGTATAACTATACACTACAACTTCACCCTTATATAACATATAATACTCCCTACAACTGTACAACTCACCCTTGTGTAAGAGCTAAAATTTTGTCCTGTCAATCATCATATCATTGTTGCACTGACCTGTTGTATAAAGCTGTGATTTTATATTTTATTACTTATTTTTCTATTTTATTTAGACTTGTACATTTACATTTATATCGTTACGTCTTACTTCATACCCGTCTCTTGCTCTTTTTTGCTACTTATTAAATTATATATATAATTTCTCTTTGTTATTATTATATTGTGATGTGTGAACTCCTTTGTCCAAATCATTTCCCTTGTGGATCAATAAAGTTTGTTTAAGTCTAAGTCTAAGGGAGGAGCTGTCTACACTCAAACTAACACACCCTAGTTGTTTACAATATGATTTTAAGCCCAAAAGCTGTTTCAGATTTACACCATTTCACCTTTTTATTTCTCTATTTAGTCACTTCTAACACCCCTATAATGTAACAGTGAACTTATTTCTCCCACCAGAGGGCGCTGTTGTTTTATATATGACGTACTGTTGTTCTTGTCCTGTCCTCTTCAGTCTGTTTGTGTTCAGGTCCAGACTGCTCCTGTCTGTCCCTCCAGCTGATACATTCTTTCACGTGTGTTTGTGCTCAGGTCCAGACTGTTCCCTGCCCGTCCCCTCGGCTGATGCATTCTGGGAGCTGCCCAGCGTGAAGCCCTCCCCCCTGTCCCTGGGCCGGGCGTCCCATCAGGCCGTGCTGCACCGGGGGCTCATGTGGGTGGTGGGGGGTTACTCCTTCAACTACTCCAACTACCACATGCTCCTCAAGTAAGACTCTAGACAGTGTTTGTGACAGTTTTGGATTCATATTTTTGTCCTCTGCTCCTGTCTGTCAGGTGAAATGACTCGGTTAAAATGTAGGTGCCACCTTTTCATAAGTAATGTATGAAGAAAAGAAAAACTGAATTTATAATCAGCAAATAGTTTATTATGGATTATTCGGAAAATACTGTGAGGGAATGAACATTTTCATCACCAAATGAAACACCAGAGGGGAGCAAGAACGAGACCTTTCCTGTTGTGTCCTCCTGGATCTGCTGACCCTCCCTGACCAGTCCTCCTGCTAAACTGACCTGAGACCTTTGACTGACAAAAGGGACTGAGACGTGTAAATGTTGCTGCAGCATAACTTGAATTTCCTTAGGATCAATAAAGTCTCTCTCTCTGTCTCTCTGTCTCTGTCTTAGCAAAGAGGTTATGGTTAGAAGTTAGGGTCAGGATATTAAGCCACAGTGCTTTTTTTTTTGTTCCCCTAAAAATAGACTTAATAAATCTCCACAAACCTTCTTATTTGACCTGGATGAGGGCCTCCTCCTGTTTGTTCCATGGAAATGTTCTACCTTTGGCTGTAATATTCCACAGTGTGATATAAAACGTATCTTTCTCCATGGAAAATGTTCCAATGTATGGTTTTAGCTTTCTAGTTCCATGGAATCATGAATTTCCACTTTTTTCCCCACACAATTTTTAATTTTTTATTTTTTTGCATATAGGTTATCTGTTACTGTTCTCACTACCCTCAACCAGTTAGATTATAACATTATATTATTATTTTAAGGTATACACATTCTGCATGCAGTTGTGTAAGATTACATTGTGTGTAAACCAGTTCTACTCATGATGTGTATTTGTCTGTGTGTGTAGTTATGCTGTGGACAGTGGGACGTGGGACATGGTAACAGTCGGCTCTGGTCCTCTGTACAGATATGGACACTCTCTGGCCCTGCACCAGGTACAGCTCTTTACTCTCTCATCACTTTGTGTTTATGCTTCAGTGTTTTACCTGTCATCATCATCATTATCATCATCATCATCATCATCATCATCATCGTCGTTGTCTCCAGTACCATAGGTGTCTCATCCCTTCTATCAAAATCTCTTCTGTGTTGATCTCTCCTCTTCTTTGATTCTGTTTCTTCACATCAGCCACACACCTGGACTCACTCCCCTTCTCCACCCGTCACATATTACAACACTTATTGACTTACTTTTTGCTGTACTTACAAAATGTACTAATAAATAAGAAACACCGGGATAGTACTGTGCTGGTTCACTTGTAGTGTCATGAAATATGTTTATTGAGTAGACCCATGGACCATAGGTGGTAAATCGAGAGCTTTGGCTTTTGGCTCAGCTCCTTCTTCACCACAACAGTCCAATACAGCGACCACATCACTGCAGACGCTGCACTGATCCACCTGTCAATGTCACGCTCCATCCTCCCCTCACTCGCGGACAAGACCCTGAGATACTTGAACTTCTCGACTTCACACAGAGACTCTCCACTCACCCGGAGAGGACAAGACAACTTTTTCCGGTCAAAAAACATGGCCTCAGATTTGGAGGAGCTGATTCTCATCCTGGACACTTAACAATCTGCCCCAGTGCTGCAGGTCCTAGTTTGATGAAGTCAACAGGACAACATCATCTGCAATCAGCAGAGATGATCCTGTGGTCCCCAAACTCTGACTGCGCCTAGAAATGATGTCCATAAATACAATGAACAGAACCGGTGACAGGACACCCAACAGGACAGCCATGACGCAGTCCAACATGCACCGGGAACAGGTCTGACTTCCAGCAATGAACACAGCTCCTGTTCCGGTCATACAGGGACCGGAACAGCCCTTAGCAAAGGGCCCCAGACTCCAAACTGCCAGAGTACCTCCCACGAGGGACACAGTCGAATCCCTTCTCCAGATCCACACAGCACATGTGGACTGTGGTAATAGTTAAAATCATTGTATTTAAGATTTAGCTATAAAACAAATTGACACTTTTTCCCAGTTTGGAAAATGTTTAGGTTTAAATGTTACTTCCTGGTTGGAATTGATGACACCTACGGTGCTGCATTGTGACTTAAACCTGCATAACACATGGCTCTGCATTAATGTTTATAAATGATAATGAAGTATTTTTAATCTAATCTAAATGACAAACATGATCCTACACCTGCTGTCTCCATGGAGATGTTATTGGTTTGCCTAGAAAGTTCCACAGTATGGTATTACACTAATATATCTCCATGTAGACAAGCATTTTATGTCTCCAAGCCAAGAGTGGTAATATTAAGATAAAGATATTATTTAGCAATAAAATAAATAAAAATAGAAATAAAATACCTGTAGTTTAATTTAATGTCTGCAAGATATTTGCTGCACTGTGGAACATTTCAGACAATAACATCTCCATAGAAACAAGTCTATGTTGGTCCTTCTGTCTGACACGTGATGTGCGGCTCTTTTAAACAACGATGTTTCATTTAGACAGTATAGTTAACATATGGTTGCTGATGTTAACTGGTGCATCATGTACAGGTCCATGTGTGATACTGGAGCATTGATTAGTGATAATTCTCCCAGAGCACTGACTCATGAACTGCTACATGAACTACACAAGTGAACTCCTCTCATTCTTTATAAAGTTGTTGGATTGTCTTCAAACTTGGCTCAGATCAATAGGTTTTATAGCAGCTATAATTCCTGTGCTCATAAAAGTGTGATAATGACTTATGGATTCTTGTTTTCACTCCAACCACAGAGAACACGTGCACATGACTCTACCATGACTCATACATGACTCATACATGACCCACACATCACCCACCTATAACCCACCTATAACCCATGTATGACCCACACACACCCCACACACAACCCACCTATAACCCACACATGACCTACGCACGACCCATGCACGATTCTACCATGACTCATACAGAACCCACATATCACCCACCTACAACCCACACATCACTCACCCACCTATAACCTACACATGAGACATGACTGTACCATCACCCAGACTCATGTAACACTTCCATGTCTGATATCAACATAAAGACAGACCCAGACTCACCTGCGCAGACAGACCCAGACCCAGACTCACCTGCGCAGACAGACCCAGACTCACCTGCGCAGACAGACCCAGACTCACCTGTGCAGACAGACCCAGACTCACCTGTGCAGACAGACCCAGACTCACCTGCGCAGACAGACCCAGACCCAGACTCACCTGCGCAGACAGACCCAGACCCAGACTCACCTGCGCAGACAGACCCAGACTCACCTGCGCAGACAGACCCAGACTCACCTGTGCAGACAGACCCAGACTCACTCAGACAGACCCAGACAGACTGCAGACAGACCCAGACTCACCTGACAGACAGACCCAGACTCACCTGTGCAGACAGACCCAGACTCACCTGCGCAGACAGACCCAGACTCACCTGCGCAGACAGACCCAGACTCACCTGTGCAGACAGACCCAGACTCACCTGCGCAGACAGACCCAGACTCACCTGCGCAGCAGACAGACCTGCGCAGACAGACCCAGACTCACCTGCGCAGACAGACCCAGACTCACCTGCGCAGACAGACCCAGACTCACCTGCGCAGACAGACCCAGACTCACCTGCGCAGACAGACCCAGACTCACCTGCGCAGACAGACCCAGACCCAGACTCACCTGCGCAGACAGACCCAGACTCACCTGCGCAGACAGACCCAGACTCACCTGCGCAGACAGACCCAGACTCACCTGCGCAGACAGACCCAGACTCACCTGTGCAGACAGACCCAGACTCACCTGTGCAGTGAGAGCCAGGCTGCGCAGACTGAGACAGGAGAAGGCATGTGTCATTGATATTAAGTGGATCCAAATGGCCACAAACAGAAAGTTTTGCTGTGACTCTTCATGTTTGTGATCCAATTCTAAACATAATACTGTCACCGCTGACTGTACAAACATAAATACAAAAAGATATATAACTGAGCATTCTCTAAATACAAACAAAGATCTAATGAATTACCTAGTGTGTCTGTTACTATTAGACCATGAAGTGAAACTTAAACTTGTTACTGTATTTGATTATACTGATCTGTATTTCGTGCAGGACGATCTCTACATGTTTGGGGGTAAGCTGGAGCAGGGAGCGGCGAACGTTAGCGACGAGCTGTGGGTGTTTAACATCCCCAGACGTGTGTGGACCCCCGTCAGGCCGACCCCGGGGCCCCTCTGCCCTCTGGAGGGACACAGTGCCCACATAGTCTCCCGGGAGGACGGCCAGACGGTCATGCTTGTGTTTTTCGGCTACTCTCCGGTCTGCGGCTACCTCAACCAAGTGCAAGAGTACCACATCGGTGAGTGAGGACTTTATAGGTTGTGTTCATGTTCATGTGGTCGAGTTGTTGATGTCATAATTTCAGGGGGGGCAGGGGTCTATCCATGAGCTTCAGAATTATGAAAAATGAAGGTTGCCATAGTGATTAACTGATTTTCTTCTGAGCAAAATTTGTCTTGTCCCAGTACAGATACAGAATATTATAGACCAATGTGTGCTGTTTGCATCAAATTATAAAGCATATTTATTTGGGAATCATGTGTGCCGCTAGAGTGGTAATACTTGTAAGCTTTACTGTGAAGACAAACTCTGGCCTCTGAAGTTTGGAAAAGTGCTTATTAACTCTTTGCAGTGAATAATTAGGAGCCTCAGTGTAGTGGACCAAACAGAAAGGAAAAGACAAGGTATAAAAGTAAGTTTAAATTTATTGAAGCCAAAAAAAGATATAATTTAACAAAGGCTCAAATTAGGCAAATTATGCACAAAAAGCCGGGCCCAACTGGGGAAACTCAAAATCAAACTGAACAGAACAAAACTAACCCAACCGGACAAAGAACAGGGTGTTTAAATACTTGAGGACCAACTAAAACTAAACACAAAAAGAACAAGTGTAAGTAAATCAAACTTATATTGACTAAAATGTGTGCACCCAAATTAGAATACAAGTCTAAATAAAGGAATTAAATTATGTAATGTGATTAACTTAATGTAAATAATAATGAAAATAAAATAATACTGACACTATGGAGTGGTGGCAGAGGGATCCACCACACTCCAAATGCTTAAGGTAAGTGAGGAAAAATGCTTAACTCTTCTGGGGAAATCGCCAAACGTCTGATTTACAAGTGCTGAACCTTCTCGTTGTTTGTTTATATTAATGTTCTGGTCACATCTTTGAGGTTGAATAATGAAAATTTTCTGAAGCTTTTGTGAAAAAAATATCTGACTTTAGTTTACTTCTCCTGACAGAGAAGACATTGAACTTTGTGCCAGGTTTTGTTGCATGTGGCTAGGCACAGTAATTACAAAGATATGAACCATAAACCACATCAACAAATCTGCAACCTGACAGTTCCACAGCAAACTCCACCTGAGAACTGCGACCTGTCTCAGATCAGGTTAAACAGGGAGTTTTTTCCCTCATCAAAACTGTGCCTGAAGAGGTTTTAGATGTCATCCATGCATCCTTGAGTAATCTAGTGATCTCCCCCGGCCCCTGTTTGAACTAGAGCCCTGCAGCGGGACCCTCGGGACCCAACGCAAACCAGTGCGTCGCGGGTCACATTTTGAAAGCTCACTGTGGGGGCGGGCGGGAGTGGGACTAATCAACGCGGGCGCAGGCGGGTGGGATTATAAACTGTAGTCTCGCAAACTAAATATGAGTGTAAAGTAAAACATACAAAAGATGAATGTAAGCATATCATGCATAATTTGTGCTGGAGATTTAATTTGGCATTAATAAAAAACATCCCGTACGCTGCGCGCAGACTGACCCACCCATCCCATGCACCGCGCAGACAGTACCCCCGCTGCCCCTACGCTGCGTGGACAGTCCTTCCTTTCAAGTACGCCACGCGAACAGTCCCCCCCAGCCCCGTATGCCGTGCGGACAGTCCTTCCTTCCAAGTACGCTGCGCAGACAGTCCCCCCGCGTCCCGTACGCGGCCTGCACCACTAAACCAGGACTAAACCAGGACTAAAACAGGTCTAAAACCAGGATTAAAACAGGGTTTAGCCAGGACTTTACCATGCCGCTGGATCGCCCACCACACTTCCTCCCATACGCAGCCCAATTCCTTTCTCTTCTCCGTGTTTGATAGAGTTTAAGAAAGCAAAGGTTCCCATCCTGTGGGACATGCGGGCAGGCGCGGGACAAAATATTGCAGATGAGGGCGGGAGCAGGACTGAAAATTACAATTCTTTGCGGGAGCGGGCGGGTGCGGGATTGCACAGAGCGGGATCAGGCGGGCGCAGGACTGAAAATTCTGTCCCGCGCAGACCTCTAGTTTGAACCCTGTTACGGTTACCATGCTTCTGCACAACAGTTCTCCATAAATATACAAAAAACATGATACAAAACCGAGCAAATCAACTTGACGTGATTGTGATAGCGCTCTGAGGGGGGAGTGACTTAGCGCAGAGAGCAAAGGGAGAGGAGACTCAGAGTAACATGGTGATCTAAATATGTTTTATGTTGGTAGTTAATAGCCCATAAAAGTAAAATGTGGCATCTTTAAACTCTTCTACAGTGTTGTGATTCCATGTGAACACAGACTATTGATGGGTGTAATTGGGTTTTATTGATGGAAGTGAAAGTCGCGGCGCTGGGAGAAGCTGACATTTCTACAGGGCGCGGTCGATGTGAGCGGGCACCGAGTTTTGGGCATCCATTCATAAAAATCATTTACAAAGGTGATACTTGATAGTTTTGTATTCAGACGTGGTTGGCTCGGTGGCGTTATTTACACTGGAGTTATTTGAAAAGCACCGATCCAAATCAATCCAAATGTCCAACAGTCCAAATCATAGTTAAAAAGTCAATTTCACTTTAAAGGTGCACTGTGTCACTTTTCTGGTGGAGAGTGGACTTTGTGTTTGTGTTACTTTGCTCAAAATATCTCACAGTACGGCGGCAAAATCCATTAAAAAACATGCTTATCTTCTTGTCTCCATGGAGATAGATCAGTTTAATGTCGTACTGTGAAACATTCCGAGCAAAGCAATAACACGTCCATGGAGAAATGTTAGATCCTGCATCTTGAATAATAAATGAATAGCAATTGTGTGTTATTAATGAAACAAAGTCATTAGACCTAATTACCTCATGACACACACGAGCTGTAATTGTGAACCAGGTGTAATACAATTTTACATGAGTGTGTGTAATATTATTAACTGATACTTTGCAGAGACATCATGCTGGGGGTGTTCTACATGGTTCTCTATTGGCAGGATGTTCAGTAGTTACCATGGTGACACAATACATACATTAGCAAAAAAATTAAAAAAGTGTTCACGGTCCTGCTCTAGGAGTTTGATTTTCAACATAAAGGTGGGTCCAGTCAAGTGGTAACGGAGGGAAACAGGGGCAGATTTTTGACATTCAAATGTCTCTTATTCAGAAACTAGAGGGACTATTGAAATAAGTAAAGTATCAGAATGTAGGAAAGAGTTAACACTCCAACAGGGTCAAGTTAAACCTGTGATATTCTTTCAAGTTGTTGACAAAAAATTTTAAAAACTCATGTCAGTAACGGAGGGAATGAAATATGCAGCACTTTTTGGGCAATAAATCCAAACAGTGATAACTCTTGGTTCTCACTTCCATATCCTTAACAAACTGGTTAGAATATTTGCTTCATATAGTTTTCTACCATATGGTACAAGATTAGGTTGAAAAACCTCTTACTTTTTGACTCATGAGATTTTTTATTAAGAAAGGTCATGGTAACGGAGGAAAAGTAACGGAGGGAAAATTGTAGATGTAGAAGGTGCAGGATTTTACATCATTTGTCACTTTAATATTACTTCAAAATGAAAGGAAACTATTTCTATCAAATTTGTCAGTCCTTCCAAGCTAATTTTTATAATTTTAAATAAATTTTTTTTGAAAAATCATGTATCTTCATCAACAGTTCAAAGATGGAATAACACAAGATATGATGAAATACATCCATTTATTGACATGATTTGCAGGTCTTTGAAATTTGGGAAATAATTTTTGTTCCATGTTTCATACATGGTCTGTTTAAAACAGATGGAACTTTAGAACCAAAAATGGTACAGAAAAAAGGTCAACAGTTTCATAAACTAGAGTACATATGTATCTGTTCAATACATTTTTATATCAGATGCATTAACTTGAATTTTTGTCCTTGCTGTTTACTTCTGCTTGACCGGGCCCAGGTACTAACTGAAAAATATGCCCAATAATGCCCAATTGTGCTTCTTTTGACTATATATTTGGGCGACTTTCAACAAGTTTGGTCGTTTTTTTGTTTTCACACCAGTCAACGTGATACAAATTAATGCAACAAGCACAATCAGAGATCTCAACCTGGTCCCCATGAGGCGTCGTTGGATCAGTTCATCAGCACAGAAGCAGTTTAGGAAGAGCCCAATCCATATTATATGATCATTATATCCACAATACAATGTGTGTATGTGTACAGGTCCATGAACATTTGTGTGATATTGGTCACACATGAGAATGTCTGTGTTTACTAGTGTGTAGATCAGTGTGTTGTGTATCAGAAAAATAAGAAATGGGAATTATTTTCATTCCAATTAGAATTTTAACGGCTAAACTGAAAGAGAAAGGAACTAGTCTGATGAGGTTCATTTGATCTTCCGATAATTTATGTTATTAGGTTCTTTTTTCAGACCAAAAGTTTATTTTCATACCTGACAGTTTCGACTGCTCACTAGCACTCTTCCTCAGAGTCTCGTGATGTTGCTGTGATGTGTCGGGTCAGTTGATTTAAACAGGTTTTGGCACTGTCTTTCTACCAGTGGAGGCAGGAGGACAGCGCCACCTGCAGTCCCATTTCCTCAGGACAGTATCCCAGGTGTGTGAGAGTAAAAAAGCCCCAGGTTTATCATCCCGTGGGCATGTTTCTGTATGTCGATTGCTTCTTTAATCCAGCGACAATGTTTGTTTTCCTCTGTCCCAATGATGTTTGCTCCATCCTAGTCCATAATGTGCTTCTCTCTTTTACAGTGGTCAGAAATGGCCCATTTGAGTTGTTCCTGTTCTGCTTTGTGTTTTGTTGCTCATATAATATGGTGATCTAAATACCTGTTTAGATACCTGTAAATACCTGTAAAACCTGTTTAAATCAGCTGACTGGACACATCACAGCAACATCACGTGACCACTCTGAGGAAGAGCACTAGTGAGCAGTCCAAACTGTCAGGTATGAAAACAAACTTGGTCTGAAAAAAGAACCTAATAACAGAGAAAGGAACTGTTATAATTAGTGATTATCTGGAAAACTATTAATATTTGACTATACAAAT